TCAGAAAGTTGATTGGTTGAATCCCGTTACAGTCCCAGATGAAGATGTCGTGTGCACCAGTTGAATTCACCTCAGTAGCATTCTTACTAGTGAAGACATTGGCGACCTGTGTGACTTGGGAAGCGAAATCTCCGCATGCTTCTGTTGTGTTTCACTTGTATGTAAACAATCAACTACCGCATTTTATTTCGAAAAGTACGGAGATCGAAAAAGCCCACCGTTATTACACTGATAACCTGTATCGAATAATAAATAGTCGGCTTTACTGGCCGACTATTGGTAAATCACCTCAACTGGGCATTCGTCCAGCTGTAGCACCATTTTGGTGCCCAGTTGCCATGCCACCCAAAGGAAGCACGAGGGCTGGGATACTGCTAGGTCGCCCAAGCCTATACAGGGGAAGTCGAGAGGCAGAGGTCGGCTTCGAACCTTGGACATTCCGGTCAGTAAATTCGCGTTCTAACCACCAAGCCATCTCGCCAAATCGACATTAATCCACTCCTGAAGCGGCCACCAAGACATAACTGTCATTACTTTGGGACAAAATGGCTTCCTGATTCGACAGGCAACTTAAATACGTAGGTCCAACACTCTTGGCACATGGCACTATATGGAACCAATCTGTGTACTTAGAACGAAAAAATGCCAGAAATTGGGACGTTTTTTTGTGCCATTCGTAATTCAATATATTTTATAGTTCACTAGCCTCCACAGACACAGCAAAAGTGTTTTCACAATCATCAAGGCTTTGGTCTGATATCTCATTGGCTGGTTAATCACCCTTGGACATTGACCAGATGGCTTTTCATCTGTTTGCCGCGCTCGATAATCGACTTGCAAACTTGTCACCTCCTCAGGACACATAATAAATCAGGTGGGTATTTCCTTTCTTTTTGTATGTTCTTATATAGACTGCAGGAAACAATAAACAATAAGAGGAGAAACTAGTGGGCCAATCGAGCAAAAGAAATGCAAACCACGAGACAACACATATAACGAAAAAACCAATCAGGTACCACGGGAGAAAGCTTTGGTAGTCAACCGAGTTAAAGATCAAAGATGCTCTATTCAAGCTATGTGCTCTCAAGTACGAAGATAAGACCTACCCACCCAACTACGAACGGACAATGCCCCCTCAGACGGTGACGAAAACTCTGCTATTCATTTGCTAAATTTAACGAACCAACTACAGATGAATCCATCAGAGCTACAAATGTTCCAACACAGTGCCATTTGATCACCCTGTGATCGTAAAATAGCTTTGCAGTCATTTTCCTCTGTTTGCAGTTTTCACAAAATGACAGACGCCTCGAGTATGCAGGTCCTATGCGACATACTAAAATGATTACTTGAGCGTACCGCAATTCTTCCCCATTCGGAGGTACGGACCTCATTAGTTTCGGAATCAACGTCATCATCATCATCATCCGAATCATCCTCATCATCATCCGAATCATCATCATCATCACCATCCATCATCATCATCACCATCATCGTCATCATCATCATCGTCATCATCAGAAGCAGCTGTAAAAACTAGGTAGAAACTACGTACAGTGTTTAAAGCTACAACAGTTTCTGTCGCCGATGTTTTGGGGAAATGGGAGAGCTCACTGAAGGTGATAGCTGATTTACTTGATGCGTAAATACAGGGTTGTCGGTAGGATTTTTATTGGAGAGGTCGGAAGAGGAGCTAAGACTTGAAGGTAACAGCTTGTATGCCTTAGCGTCATTGAGTGTGCCAGCTGGCCATGTCTGACAATTTGACGCTGATGTGCCCCCAGTCAGGGAGACGACAAAGTCTGGCGCAGCTGAGCTTGCTGTCAATCGCTTTCATCGCCTAGTCACTGCCTGACCCTTCCTTGCTCGTTTGCAACCTTGGCGTGGTTTGTCGAAAACGGGTCCCTCAGGCATTCGCCGTAAGGGGCACGTGACCAAGCGAAAGCAACCTATGCAGTGTGATCGGCTAATCTATCGTGGGTGAGTTATTTCTTCCGAAAGCCATTCGACCTACTACAGCATCATTGGTCCCGTGTTCCCACCAGACTCGGGCGGTTACGCTAGAAAATATATCCATGTGTGTGAATAAGGTGATGAAGGGCGCTGGCATCTTGACGGTATGTCATATTACCATTCTTGGAACGAATGATGTTTTTCGATAAATCTCCGTGAATGAGGACCGGAGCATCCAAGTTCGCCTGCAGCAGACCTTTTGGCTTCTCTAATGCCGTTTGTGTGATTTCAGTGACGAGATGACGACTGCGGCGAAGTGTCGAGGAAAAACGAACAAATAACGTTGTTGTTCAATCGTCATTTAGTCGTCACAGTCACAAGCAGTTTTTTGAGAGACGACTCCAAATCCGAACAGTTCATGTCTGCTGAGAGATAACAAGGCACCCACAACAGAATTTCCGAAAAGTTGCCTTTACACCAGCTATGTAGAACACTTACACCCCAACAAGGACGAAACCGGTCGTGGGCTGTCAAAGACTTTTCAGCAACCTTATGAGTAGTGCACCATATAGTATGTTACACTATTCCTGTTTGTTGTCGTCGGCTCACCACAGACATCCCTTGATACACTAACCCTCGCAGTCCTCTTGTTTTCAAAATTCTGTGGATGACAATCAATGTAAGTGACGAAATTTGTTAATCTGCGTGAGGTTGGACGGCATGCTGTTGCGAGTTCAAGCAATGGCTAATTTGAGGCATATGTGGAGATCCTGAAAGAATAATTGATCCTTTTATTCTCCATCATGTCACAGATGATATAGATAAGAGAATAGTCCGTGAGAGTACTCCACTGGTGGGAGACTAGACAGAACACGTTAAAAATAGATACAGCAAGTAGGGTTGAGAGCATCAATCAGTATGTTGATAGGAGAAACTTCATCCCACGCAGATTGAGTTGAATGAGTGGGAACGGAAGGGAACTAATGCAAGTTTGGTGAGTGGGTGAACGGGTCTGTCCTCAGTTCTCCACAGTCCTATCAAGATAAGGCTTGTGTTTGCTCGGGTTTATCGATTTGGTTCTTGCCTACTAGCCATCAGAGCTTTTGCCAGGGATGGACTAAAAGTGTTTTTACTACTAACTATCTGAAAGTAGCATGGGCGGCTGAAAAATTCGCTCTACAAGATGTTGATTATCCGGAGGGGTGTTCAGTGAGGTCCAACTGGAAAACTACTGCGGAATGCGCGCAATTTTTCGATGCAATGCGAACCCTTCTTGGTGTTTCATCGATCAAAGTCTACTACTGGTTTCGCTCATTCTGGAACCCATCAGATACACTCGGTCTCCCCGGGCTTCCAACAGTCTAAGTTAGCAGCTGCTGATCAGCAGACTTCCTATTTGCAAAAATGAACGCTCACTTGCACACCAAACTGGGGGTGACAGGAGGCACTGCTGGATTTCCTGTCAGCAGTTAGAGGTAGTAAAATCTTACACGATGTGTGATACAGAGAGTTGGATTTCGAGCTGCGACTGACTGAAATGGCCACCTTAAAGTAAATTGGTTTGACCGCCGAGAAGTACAGCAAAGCTAAGCTCTGAAGGAGATGAAGTCGGTTCGAAAAGTTATTAAACATAACTGTTTATTAAATGTAAGCTTTATCGTCGATGGGCTGGGTAAGTACTCTCTGATGGAAGCTTCACTCGGAAGATACCCGCTCACGGGTGCTTTATAAAGACACTTTTGAAGTTCAGGTTTGTGTATGAGGCAAGTTTGCGGTGCATTTCAGACGACTGATTTGTCGTTACCATGACAATCTGTAATCTTCTGGAAAGACTTTGCCCCTTACATACGGAAGATCTAACACTCAAGCGCATGACTACCATCAGGGCATATTGAACATATATTGCTTTTTAAAAAAAACACGCGTTTAGTTTCATCGCTCAGTGAGTTCTAAATGATAAGGCGAAGAAACTCAGAAAATAACGGGCCAAATGTACTTTCGGATGTCACAAATCAGACAAACATTGCACTCATTGGCAGATACATTTAGAAGAACAGTGTAAATTTCGATTTTGGATGGGGATGGGACGAACAGAGTTGCAGATCAATCCTTGGTTTTTTAACTCAAATGTCCTTAATTGGAGCCAGCACAGATGTTTCGTCATCAAACGGAGAAGACTTAATCAGTGCGCGGTGGCGTGGGTGTTAACCTCTCCATGTTTGTTGACAAGACCTTTACAAGTCAGTTAACACGCACGGCGAATGGATCAATAGCCACGTGATCAACAACAAAAAGGCGCATCCGAGCCACCAATATTTTGACAACCCAAAAGCTTACCATAAATGTTGATGCCCTCGGCATAGGCCCACGCCGAATTACAAAAGAAAAGCAACAGCCAAAAATTCCTTCCACTCACGACTCTGAAGAGTTCAGATTAGTGCTGGCGAAATGAAGGACGGAACAGCATGGCAGTCATCGCAGCTGTGTTGGTCGCTTTTGCGGAGAAGCAACCTCTTCAGAGACAGTACCTTACCAGATATCACGCCTCGAGTGTTGCGCTGTGCGTATAAACGCCGTCATCAAGAACGATTTTACACCTATCTCTCAGCAAAAAAGAATAAGAGCAAAGAGCAGGGAAAATACTGCCTTCAGAAAGCTACTTTGGAACTGGAAAAGCAGAAATTTGGGATCCACCTCAACAGAAGGAAATTTCATTTATCACCATTCTCAAGGCATAGAAAAAACTGCTTAAATTAGCATTGTCAAACGCTCGTAGCACTGCCCAGATTCTGTTTCTATGAGGGCATTCATGCAATAAATCCGAAAAGATGTTGGTTCAGCAATCCAAAAGCAAAATGGGATCAATAGTCTAACTATACTACTTAAAAAGTTACCTTTTTTTAATGAATAGATCAAGGACTCAGTGTAAAAATGTAGGCGTTCTAAATGACACCGTAAGACGACAGTGATTGGAATCGAGTAGGATCGACTGAACACAAAACTTATATGATGCGTGAAACAATGCAAAAGCATGAGAAAGTACTCACCTGTGTCATATTTATTGGAGGCTTTCCCACTTCTTCATGCCGGAAATTGGTGTTCAGTTTTGGAAGTTGTGGCATATTCACTTGGGTGGGCAATTTTTTAAACACATCGGTGAAATTCATCATTTGGTCAGTTTTCTGCAGTTGATTATCCGACAAAATTACACAACACGTCTACTGCTCTCTGTTCAAATGGACTGATTCGGCCGTTTTCCTCTCCCTAAGCAGTAGGCTGAGAAAAAATTTATCGATCGTCGCGAAGGATGCAAGCTGATTGGTCAATGGAAATAGGTATCCTCTGACCAGGTTATCGCATCGATGACCTTGAGGTTGCCAGCTTGCGGACATCAACCGGTCTACCCCTGTCGCTCGTACGGTGGACGGTATTTCGTTTTCTCCATATCGATTCTGGGTGAGTAGTTGTACGGAAATAAACCAAAGGGGTTAAGCCAAATAATCCATAGGGTATAAAGATCAAGAAAAACTTATTTTGAGCAAGCTTATAATTACCGAGAGATGGAGAAGCAGCAGATAAGAAACGTGGTGTGACAAATGGTAATTAGTAATTAGTTTATTGCATTAAGTCGAGAAACGGCTGGAAGACCAGAGAAAGACAAGGAAATTCAAATAAAAAGACGTTTTGAAAACTGAGCTTCACATTCGCAACCTGAAAACTGGTAAATGGCGTGGAAGACGTGCGAACCGTTCTTCTTTTCAATGGATCCAATTTACCAGTGGATGGATGGCTCACTGAAGGACCCGACCACATTGTTCAGGATATAATCAATAAGTTGAGACAAGAGTCACGACTACGCGGCTGGTGGCAAGCTTTTCTAGACTGTTTTTACAAATTGCAAACTTACTAATTTCAACTACCTGAGTTGCGACATCAGTTCTCCACTGCTCATCCACCATGGTGTGCATTCGAGTTGACTGGGGTTGTGACATTCGCAGAACTTAAAATCTCCTTACGTTTGAACATCCTTTGCCGTGCCCGGTTCCATTTTTTCTAGCTAGTCTACGCCAGCAAGAGAAAATTTTTGCTCGAGTTTTCTTCCTGTTGGGGTTCAGCGGCAGTTCGTTTTTCCGGTTACGTTGAGGCTTGAAACCCAGACATATGACTTGCAAAGCGGAAATGTTAGCAGCAATCCACCAGCACGGGCCGGATTCATCTGAAGTGTCAATTTTAAACAAGCGAATGTGTCCACACTTCGACGACTTCTCGGGAAAGGGCCCGGCACCTGGTCTGAAGTGTCATTTTAAACAAGCGAATGTGTCCACACTTCGACGACTTCTCGGGAAAGGGCCCGGCACCTGGTCTAGTTTTCTCGGTCATCCTATTCGACTGGGCTACCCTGGGAGGTGGGTAGAAAGCACTCACGTGGTTCATGGGTGAACGCGTTGTCCAGTGCGCACTGGAGATGTTGTGGTAGCATGGTAGCCCCACACACCCGGCATCCAAGCTTCATATTCATATACGACAAATGTTGGTGGCTTTCAATAAGTTGCAAACTCGAGTTTGCTCAACTTGCAAACCATACGCCTTCTGAACGAGTTGGGAGCCAATGCAGTTTGTTACGGGATCCGAGTGCTCTCTTTTGCCAGTTTTGACGATCAAAACATGCTTACCTTACGTGGAGTAGATTTTAATCTCCTGCGAACACTTCCGAATGAGGAAACAAGTGCTCACGGCCCGTGCACAGGTCAAACACCCTATGCCTTTTATGATCGTTCAGCCTTTCAGCTAGGATAAGAAAAAAAGGCAATTTCATAAAACCTGGGTGAGGTTTGTTTGAAACGAGACCGCTAAAAACAACGGCCTTTCATGTACCTACAGTTTCTCACGCATCCACATTTCATGCTTCATTTGTAAAAGACAACATGCGCTTTTCCCTGGAAGTTTTGTAACGGTCTGACCGCCCTAGTTGGTTGAGTTCGCACCATTGCCCTTGGGGATTCGTCCGCTTTGTCTTCATATTATCTGCTAACATTTCTCAGAACAGCGAAGACAAATGCACCTGGAAGTGCACAACCCAGATATGCTGCCCTCGACGTTTTGTTGGTGGCACTGACATCCGCTCAGTTTGATATCTTTAGTGATTGCCTCGCTTGTACATTGGGGCATCAAGCTAACAGACGACGGTTCAGAGTTTGCGGTAGTTAGTTGGTTAGGCAAATATAGGTTGTGCAATCGATATTTTAGGGCTTCTCTTGCATCATACCTATTCACGATTAGCGATCGTCAGTTTCGAAATGTCGACGAACTTAGGAAACCCGTAAAGACTGGAGCTGGGAAAAGGATATAAACGCTCCGGGGAACTGTTGTGTTTCCAGAATTAAAAGAGGATCTGCGGTGTTGCAGAGGAATCTCAGTTTAGCGATACAAAACTATGAATTTTGTTGAATTGCCAACAGCATCTTTCGGTGCTCAGTGCACGTTTGATTCGATGTTCAACTATGTGTACTCCCGATTGGTTCACCATCTGATTGACTCTGTGACACTTGTGGTCGATCGATCTCTGTTTAAAATATTGACTTAAAGACGGAGATTTGCTGATTGGACAATCGGAGTCTAGTTTAGTTACAACAAAAAGCCGCGTTAATTGACTGGAGGATAGGTTCTAAAATCCGTATCACTGCTGACCGCTTTCAGTGCTTTCAGCTTGTAGAGGGTTGGTCTTACGTTAGAACCTGTGTGGCCTAAAAACGCCCTAGCAACCACATCAATGCATGCGCACGCTTTCTATACCTACAAAATACTAGGTCTTACAAAATTCATACCTTCGCACATTTTTGAAACTCTCATATGATGAGGCTGGTTTGTTTTCCACTCCAGATGTGAATTGAAAAATCCCGTCGTCAAACAGAGATGCAAGACACTCCAGCTTTCCTGGCTGGGACCCATGTTGCTCTTGTTGCATGAGATGCTCACATTTTTCTATCTCGGCGACTGAAGGCGCATTCCCTACTTCTTGATGCATAATTCTACCGGAGAACAATTGAAGTAACTCTGAAAATACGTAAGTAGCTATTTCTCGGTCACTTCGTGTAACGTCTGGCTTATTTTTAAAATTTAAACCTACCTGAAATTCCAAACCTGGTGTTGCACTCCCCACACTAGGACAGTTATCTAACATTTTGTTTAAACTAGATTCCTGTATCTCAGTGCACTCTTCTGCGATGAACAATCTCAGGTCGGTTGTGGTCCTCGACGTTCTCTGCTGAACTGCTCTCTTCAGAAAAACCAAATGGAAAAAATCCAGAGGTGGTGAAATATCTTGATGACCGTTCTTACATTCCCACTTAAGCTATCCACCGAACAGTGGGCTCTTCATCCGCATAGGTTTGAAAAGAGTGTGTATTGTGCGGAGGTGTCCGGTCATGTTTTACCACACTGAGTAGTATTTAGTGGGAAAGTGTGGTCTCGCAAAAAATACAAAAGATACTATTGAAATGTCGCACCTTATCATCTCACCCTCGAGCGAGGATTGAATTTTTCGAAGGGTTCATTTTGCACAACCACGTGAGGGATGGAAACGAGCCAGGGGAGTTCGAACAGTGACTTGGCAGCGAAGTATAAAAGCCATTACCAGCAAACTCAGCTTCGCTGGTCATGGCCGTTTTCCTATATGGGAATCCCGAGACGGGACACATCAATGGTTGGAGACATTGTCAGACATGGCCCAGTAGCGCCCTCAGTGGTGCTCGTGCATTTAAGCAGTTGCCTTCAATTCATAGCTCCCTTCCCAATTCCCCCACTTGTCAGTCAACTGAGAGTTCTGTCTGTACACACCAACTTATCAGCTCCTGCCTCCAATCCGCAGCTATCTACCCCACCTCCCCAAATAATCGGTGAACGAAACTGCGGCAGCTACAACCATTGTACGATAAGTACGCGGTTATTACAGCTGTCAATGATGATGATGATGAAGGACCATTGCGTGACCTTTCAAGAAGACCAAGCCAAACGATTTAAACGGAGCACTGAACATTGCCACAGATATCTATTTCTGTAAGTCGTGTGCCACAAATGAGCAGGTTTGACAACAGTCCATTCAGATCAAACGTAGCCTTATCCATAGCCTACCCAGTTGTCTGTCCTGTGAAAAACAATACAAAAAATTCAATATTTTGTATTTGAACTCCTAAGTTCAACTATTGGACCGGAGTGAAATTCCTTCTTCAACATCCGCTGCATTCAGAAGGGATCGATCACTTTCACCTATTACTCAACGGTGCGCCACCACTGAGTCGTTCGAGCATTGCTCACCATTAATTCCCAGAACCTTTGGTACTTTGTTCATTTGCTAGAGTGTCTTTCGGCCAGCTCGTATATCATGGTAAGTGTGAACAACTTCGCTTGCTCAATCTAACGATTATCAGAACCTTCTGAAAGTGTGAACTACTCACCAGCGTGAAGAGGACCAAGTCTGATAGATAGTTTGATTGATAAATGGTTCAAAGGAAGAATACTTTAACAAGATGAGTGAAACTTCTATCTGAAAGGTTGCCGCTCTAGGGACCAATCAACACATCTAAACACTTGATGTGGTTTCTGTGACTGAAGAATGAGCGGCGCTTAAGTGCCCTAAGTGAGAGGTAATCACACTGCTGTTCTTCCTGTCGTGAGTGAACTTGTTCGAAAGGTCATTTGTTCGAGACCCTCTTGATTATTTGCGAGGTGCGCACTGCCAATGACTCTCAAGAGGGATGAAACAGCTCTACGGTGTTTCTCGGCTTTTTCAACATAAACCGGCCTCAGGATAATACCTCAATCGAAAGTTATCTTTCTGTCTGATCTGTAAGTTTAGATGTAGGTTTCTCCCATCCAGTGCTATCTCCATAGAATAACCATCACCATGGAAGGCCATTAGGAGAACCAGCTCCGAACGTAACGGGACTACATAACAGCCAATGGAATAACCGTTTTCGTTGAGACAGATCTCATTGGTTGTTTTTCACTCGCTTTTGACAGATGAGTTATATTCTAATATCACTTTTTTTTGGCCCGCTTGTACGCGACAGTGATCAACAGAGCAGCTGACTCGCACGTTCATTGATTTTCTGTTTTGGCCAAGCGCACCAAGCGGCTATCCAGACCGGAGTTCATGGTAATACGAAGGCATTAAGGAGACTGCGGTTCACAACAAAGACAAACTACTTAAACATAGAGAT